ATATTGGGAAGGACCAGCCCAGCACGCCCTGCCGGGTCGACCTGGCGGCAGTGAGCGGGGGGCCTGCGGCTTGGCAGGACCCTGGGAGGTGGCTGAAGGGATGCGTTGGGAGCCGCCATGGAGTGGTCCGAGTGCCACTGGCATTTCTGGGTTTGAGCTGGGTTTAGTCCAGGCGCCGTGACTGGTAACGTCCCGTCTGCTCTGCTCGTGTTTTCCAGAGTCTGGGGGCACGTGAGGATCTGCCGGAGGAATCACTGATATTTTCGTTTCTGCTTCTTCAGGTATGAAGGACGTAAATGGCTTTATGTTTTTGATGTTCCTTGACCTGGTGTTGGTTTAGGAATTTCTTTACCAGTGACACTGGTATAAACTGAGTGATTGCACGGGTCCTTTTGTGGAGCGATGTCTTGACCCACCTACACGCAGAGGCTGTAAATGTGCACAGGTCTGCATGCTTCTGGCCGACTGTAGCTGCTGTGTCTTGTGGCAGTGGTTTGTGATGGGTTCCTAGCGCAGCAGCTCTGGCTCGCAGTTGCTTCCACTGTATTTCTCTGCAGCCTTTGGGCTGTGCCATATTACTACATTTTCCAATGATCCTTTAGTCTTTTTTCTTTTTTTTTTATTGTGAGGAGGCTTGCTCCTGTCTTGCGGATGCTCAGCCTGATGCGTGACGCAGCAGGTCACACGTGGTGGTGAGTCCCCCAGTGACTGTTCGTGTAGGAAGCGTGCATTGTGCTTCCTGAAATATGTGCATTCAAGAAAGCAACAAGAGACAGATGGAGTGAAACCTCTTTTCTAGGTCAGGACATACCCAGCCATCACTCCGTTTTTAAATGTAGTCAAATAACCCTAGTAGCTCGCTGCTTTCTGAGGCCATGTGCTGGTGACTTCTATAGCTTTTCACAAAGTGTATATAGTAGAGTTGCTTGGAAGTCCTCAGTAGACAAAAGAATATCTCAAGTCCCATTTTGTGGAGTAGATGGAGTTGCTGGCAGGCTGAGTGAGATGTTCAGCCAAGACAGCTCAAGTGGATTTGTCTGTGCCCAGATGCCTGTGTAGATGCTTTCTGGTGCGTGCAGGCCAGTCGATACTCTGCCGCTGCGTAAGCAAACAATGGCGTGAGTGGCTGGGCTGTGATGCGGTTGCTGTGGTGGACTGGAGCTGTAATTGAGTGGCCGAGAGACCTGGATTCCATTCTGTGCTCCACCACAGACTTCCCATCTGACTGAGGCCAGACTCCTTAGTCTCTCTGGGGTGGTCCGTGTTGCACAACACAGCGCTGCGCAGAGGTCCCGGGGCTGGTATCAGCTGAAGTCTAGCCCTGGGACCTGGTGCAGCTCTCCATGGGAGCTCTTCAGCCCTGCTGAGGACACGAGCTTCTCGGGCTGCGTCGGTGACCCTGTCTGCCTGCTCTGGACCCAGCAGACCTCACAGCGTTTGCAGGTAGCAGAGGATTGCTGGTACAGTGCTGAGGTGTGCGATAGGGGCAGACCCTCCCGTCCTTTCCCATCTGCAGTAGCTTGATCGGCTTCACAGAGGAGGTCGGAGTGTAAATAGGCTAGTGATTGTGAGATTGCAATCACAGTGAAGGCGGCCACCGGTACGTGTGAGAGTGGTATCGTTTTATCCCTGCCCTGCACAGGAGTCTACAAGTACGTGATTATGGAGCGTCTGTCACGGAGTCTCTGGCAGGGCTTCAGGCAGAGCCCAGTGCTCCTGTTTCTTTCTCACGTGGCTCAACACGAGACCTCCTTGCTTGTGAGTGAAGGAAATAGTGACCTTCCATGGGGCCCAGTCTCCGTTCCCAGTAGCGCTGTGTTTGTTAAGGGAGCTTGCATTTTCCTGGGGAACGAACAATGCCTGACTGTAGATGTGTTCTGAACTCCTATCTGTGCCTTATCTGCCTCTGAAAAGGCAAACATGAAACTTCAGCTGTTTATTTGCATGAATGCTTTTAAGATACCACAACCTTGAAAGTACAATGTCTGAGCTTTTTACTTCTGAATTGACGACCTCAGCACTAACAAATGTTGTTTTTCAAATGTGAAGTGAATCCTGCCTTTTTCTCTCCTCTTCCCACTTTCTTCTCCCTGCCCCATGCACCAGCTGCACCCGTTTTTTTCTGTCCTGGGGTTTCAGCTGTGTTTAATAAGGTCTGGATCAAGATGGAGAGTGGAACAGAAGAGTCGAGAGATGAAATGGGGAGAAGTGCTTGACAGCAGCAGGCTGGTGGCACAGGATGTGGGAATGCAACATGGGGAGAGCGGTGGCTTCCCCACTCAGTTCCAGCCGCAGAAGACAATGCT